AACAGTACATCATAGAGCACTAAATCAACAATCTCCCACTTGCTCTAATCATGAACTGCTAAACATCTAATGCCCATATCCCTAACATGATCCTCATGCTTCGACGAAGGGAGAGGCTTCGTCAACGGATCGGCAATGTTGTCATCTGTCGACACTCTGCAAATGTGTACGTCTCCTCTGTCTATAATTTCCCTGATAAGGTGAAATCGTCTGAGTATGTGTTTGGATCGTTGATGGGATCTGGGTTCTTTCGCTTGTGCGATCGCTCCATTGTTGTCAAATACAGAGCAATGGGGCTATCAGCACTCGGAATGACACCCAAGTCACCAACAAACTTCCTAATCCAAACAGCTTCCTTTGCTGCGTCCGACGCTGCAATATACTCAGCTTCTGTAGTAGAATCTGCAACGGCGCCTGCTTGGAACTCTTCCAGCTAACAGTGCCTCCGTTCAAGCAGAAAACATAGCCAGGTTGCGATCTGTAGTCATCCGGGTCTGACTGGAAACTAGCATCGGTGTAACCTCTTACAGCGAGCTCGTCTTCCGACCCACCGTATACCAAGAATACATCCTTAGTCCTTCTCAAGTACTTCAGGATATTCTTGACTGTGATCCAGTGCGACTCACCTGGATCTGACTGGTATCTACTCGTAATGCTCAACGCGTAGGATACATCCGGTCGAGTACAAAGCATGGCATACATGATGGATCCAATTGCCGAAGCATATGGAATCCGATCCATGCGTTCTCGCTCATCAGGTGGGTAAGGTTTCTTTCTTGGAATCTTGCATCTTGAACCGTTTCAAGACCTTATCGATGTAAGTACTCTGACACAGTCCTAGAAGACGCCTCGATCTATCTCTATATATCTTTATTCCTAGAATATAGGCCGCTTCTCTTAGGTCCTTCATAGAAAACTGCGTTTCTAGCCAAGACTTAACGTCTTGCAAGGTAGGAACGTCATTCCCTATTAGGAGAATGTCATCCACGTACAGCACTAGAAATACAACTGTGCTCCCACTGTCCTTCTTGTAAACGCATGGCTCGTCTTCATTTTGTGAGAAACCAAACTTTTTGATTGTCTCATCAAAGCGAAGGTTCCAACTCCTTGAAGCCTGCTTCAGTCCATAAATGGACCTCTGAAGTTTGCACACCATCCTCGGGTTCCTAGGATCGACAAAACCTTCCGGTTGTGTCATGTATACATCCTCGGTCAAGTTCCCGTTAAGGAACGCGGTCTTGACATCCATTTGCCATATCTCATAGTCGTAATATGCGGCTATGGCAAGTAGGATCCTGATGGACTTCAGCATAACTACGGGCGAAAAGGTCTCATCATAGTCAATACCATGAATTAGACAGAATCCTTTCGCCACAAGTCGTGCCTTATACGTGTGCACGTTGCCATCCATATCGGTCTTCTTCTTGAAGATCCACTTGCATCCGATGGATTTTATCCTTCAGATGCATCAACCAAAGTCCATACTTGGTTGTCTGACATGGATTGCATCTCGGACTTCATAGCCTCGCGCCATTTCTCGGAGTCCGGACTCGCCATAGCCTTTGGGTATGTGGTGGGCTCGTCATGTTCTAATAACATGAACTCCTCATTCCCAGTCACGAGAAATCCATATCTCGTTGGTTCTTGGCGAATCCTGCCTAATCTCCGAGGTTCACTCGTCAAAGGTTGAGTCACAACGGGAAGTGTAACAGGTTGAACTTCTTCAACTTATTCACTCGGCTCAGCGTCTACTTGCTGCTCTCGAACTTCCTCAAGTTCGATCCTACTCCCACTGACTCTTTTGGAGACGAACTCTCGCTCCATAAAAGTCGCATTCCTGGCAATGAACACTTCGTTCTCTGCCGGAATGTAGAAGTAGTAACCCTTAGTTTCCTTAGGGTAGCCTACAAATAAACACTTATCAGATTTGGAGGACAACTTATCAGTCATCTGACGCTTCACGTAAGCGTCGCAACCCCAAATTCTGACAAACGATAACGCGGGACGATTCCCCGTCCATATCTCATGTGGTGTCATTTCAGCCGACTTCGTTGGA